TTTGTGGTTTACTTATTTCTAACATAACATTATCAACAGTACAATCTTTTATGCCAAAAAAATTCTTAATCTCATTATCATGGTCATTATTGATTGCCTTCCAAGGCAAATAGATTGGTTTTGCATCTCTGTAAAAGATTTTAGTACAAATTAAGGCAATATTCCTAACCAGTACGTTCTTCCCCATTTTATTAAGATGGAGTCCGTGCCTTGTAAAGAGAGCTCTATTTAAATCATGGTGTAATAAAGTAACATGCTTAAAACCTTTGGTACATTTCACCAATTTCCTATTAAAAACTTTTATCTCATCATTCACATATGACCAGTTATCCAGGTCATACCTATGTGGAATATTCAACAGAACAATATTTGTATGAGAATTAGTTTTGATAAAATTCAATATATTTCTTAATGCTTCTCTGGAATTATTTTTTCCTATTTCTTTATTTCCACCTGAAAAAACTATTAATCATTAAGTGTCAAGGATTCAACCATAGACTCTGCCGTGGTAGATAAGTTACTTATGTCAGCTCCTGGCTTGACAAATCCTATTACTCTGGACATTTTAGTTAAGTTGTCTTTGATCTTATCTACACAGTCTCTAATATGGCTACCACCAATGAATATAATTAAATGTTTAGTCTTATCAACTAAAAGATTTTGCTCTAGACTTGTGTTTTTGTTTTTAAATTTGCATGTCAGTATTATTGTCACCGCTATTAACTGCAGACAAATCGCTTTCTGAAAACTTTGAATAAGTATTACAAGGGGGACAACCATTCACTATCACAGGGATATGAAATTCTGGCAACAGGTCTTCTGCTTTCTTGTATCTACTAGTCCTTGATGAAATAGGTTCCCTTGCAGCTGAATCTTGGTTCATTGCATTAGATTTGAGACTTCTCATCTTACTTTTCGTGATTTGCCTAGGCTGATCCTTTTCTAGGTTATGTAAGACTCCAAAACTATTAGTAGTTCTTATCTTTGTTTCTGTAATTTTACTGGAGCTAACAGAATCCATCTCTTATGAATGCACATTCTTGACCTTATCCTCAAAGACTTGATCATTCTAATTATACTTGATGAAAATTACAAGTTGTGAAGCTCCTCATTCTGTAGTTTTCTCCAACCTCCAATCACTTCATCCCTCTTTGGTCCAAGTTTATCCTCAGTTCCCTGTTCTCGATCACCCTCGGACTATTTTCATCTCTTAATGCCAGAGATTAAGTTTCACACCCATTAAAATCACAGGCAAAATTATAGCTTGTATGTTCTAATTTTTATGTTTCTATAAAGCAGATGAGAAGGCAAAAGTTTCTTGACTCAGTGGTAGCAAGCATTATTAAAATAACTTCCTCCTGAATCAAATTGTTATTTGTTACTGTCATTCACAAATATTTTATCTGTGTTACATTTTGAAAGGATCTGTTGGCTACCTTTATGTTATGTAATTCTGCCCTGTATTCTGGTAATGAAATATCAACATGTTTTTAGCTTTCTCAGCATTTACTTCTAGACCAGCCTCCTTACTAGCATCAGTTGAAGTTTATGTGTTCTTCTTTATGGTATTTATGTCGGCTTCCAATAGATTTAAGTCATCAGCATGAACTATGGCCTGATATGTCCAATTTAATTTCTCTCTCACCTGGTTTGCCTTGAACTCCCTAATGCTGTGTCATAAAGCAAAGTTGAAAGGTAATAGTGGTAAATGATCTCGTTGTTTTAGAATATTTTGAAAAGGAAACTAGTCAGAAAAATATTTACTTATACTGACTTTACTGTAGGTTTCATTTAAACACATTTTAATCAGCCTAACCAGTTTTGTGGGTACCCGAAACTCTGTGAGAATATTGTACAATACTTCCATTTCAGCTGAATCATAGGTGCTCTTGAAGTCTATGAATTGCTGATGTACTGCCTCAATGTACTCAAATCTCTTCACTGAACCATGGTATATGCTTCTTCAGTTCATAATAACCTAGACTATCTTCAGCTTAAATTTTGATATTCTCCCTACTATAGTTTCCCAAGCTCTATTAATATCCATATTATCATCTAAGTTTTCCAAAGCTGGAAACCTATTTGATATTTCAATCCGGTACTCTTCTTTACTCTTTATCTCTTTACGTTTCTTGAGATTGAACCTCTCCCTAATAAAGGTTTGCATTGTTTGTTTACTTACTGCCAGTCACCACCAGATAGTGGTCAGTACCAGAGTTTGCTCTCTAGAATAGACATCAAGTACATTCAAATGCTGTCTCCCATCTAATAAAATATGGTCTATTTGATTGCCAGTCTTTCCTTATGTAACCGAGGCAATTATTATAATCTTCTAAATGTGTCACTTTTATTAAATACTAAAAAATAAATCCACTGCTTGTCATTGAGTACCCAACCTGTGCATGTTATTTTGCATTTGTCTAAACATTTGTCTGTGCTTGTTTGGGCAGATCTGGTTTAGACCAGGTTATATAGAGATTTTTTTTTAATTTGTTGACTGGTTCATGGCGACCTGTGCACTTCTGGCTGCGAGACACATACAAATTTNAATTTGTTGACCGGTTCATGGCTCTGTCCTTCATGGCGACCTGTGCACTTCTGGCTGCGAGACACATACAAATTTTGCTGATGAATCAGCATGTCTGATGTCTGATGTTTGGAATCAAGAGATGTAATTAACTTGAGGACCGCTTGATGGCATTATGGTTTCACAGCCAGCAGTGCTGTTCATGCATGGGAATTTGTTCATGATTTGAAAGCAGTAGGCAGTAGTTATCGGCTACATTAGCCATTTGTTCCCAGTTACAGTTAGTGAGCCGTGCGGTACGTCATGGTGCAATGTACTTCAGAGCAACGTGTATTTCTGTATGTTGCCCATGTGATAATACTGATCTGATAGAAAGTGTTGGCGAAAATTTAGACATAAATTTAGTGATGTACTAGCTCTCAGCAGACAAACAATTCACAATTTGGTCAATAAACTTAGAACAACGGGACTCGTAATAGACAAGATACAAAAACATGATTGTTGAGTGCTTATTGGGGAGAAGTTGGATGACACAAGGGTCAAACTTTAACACACACCTAGAAAAGCACTGAAATGTCAAGCAGAGAGACTGGAATACCAAAGCCTATTCAAGAATGGCAACACAATTGTTGAAGTTTAGACCCTATAAAATAACATTAATCCACGCCTTGCAGCAGCGTGATCCAGCTAGAAGGCCAGGTGAATTTCTGCAGTTGGTATCCACAGTCTCTTGTTGAAGGCGAGGTCGATCCACAATTGACATTCTTTTCTGATGAAGAGTGGTTTTACTTGCAGGAATACATAAATACTCAAAATAGTTGATACTGGATTTCACAGAATAAACATCTAACCTATGAAGTCCTGCTTCTTCCAGTGAAAGTTGGTGTCTTGTGTGCTGCAAATGCAAGAAGTATTGTGGTACCTGTGTTGTTTTAAAGAAATAATTAATTGTGAAATATATCTACATGTAGAGGGACAGGATTTTCAAGACCTGTGATCTGTGAATTGTAACTACTTCATTCTGAACATTATTGTCTGTCAGTCATGCTAATTCATTGGCAAAATTTGTGTGTGACTTATGACAAGTGGCTTCCTGGTTGCCGTGAAGCACAGAACCATGGAACCGGTCAATGAAGTAAAAATCCTCTCTGTATAAAGTCGGAAATGGCAGAGTGGTAATATTAATCATGTTAGCCAAGCTAACACCTCAAAAAATAAAATATGTTACTTTTGTTGTTCAGTGGTACCTCACATACTGGCAGAGGAAGCAAATAGATCATGCAACTTTTGTTGTCTTCAGCTTCCAAGCCTGCCACAGGTTTGGTTGCCAAATCCTCGCAGCTTACACTGATGTTTTGAGACTGCTGGCGCAATTAGAGAGGCATGGTACAATATCAGCTGTAGGGATGGAAGGGGTACAAGATATTCCATGCTATTGCAAACTCCTATGCTAGCAAAAGGTTGGAGAAACATAAGTTTCTGCTCAAGTATACCATAATGTTCTTCAAGATTCTGACTTTAATTCTTATTTTACAGTATTTTCAGGAGTAGTACTAAAACTGGAAAAAAATTTTAAATCATTTGAATCGAAAGCAACGTTGTCAGTTACTGTTCCCACATAGTCGAAGATGATCACAATTTGTTTAAGGAAAACCGCACAGTTTGATCAGAAAGTGCATGCCACTTGCAGGGAGACAGAGACCATTCTGAATTTCTGGCTAAGAAACAATGAGTAGTAATAATTAATAATGATCAAACAACTGTCATTGGGTGTGCTGTTAAATAATAAAGAGGCAGTTGACCAATTGATTCTCTGAAATTCTCGAACTAAATTTATTTCAGCACTTGACTTTATAAATTTTAAACATTACTCACAAAACTTTCCCAGCTGCTCCTGAGTTGTTATGGAAATCATATGGACAGTATTTTGAGGCTCCTCTTCTGAAAACTAAACTTTCTGTTATTTGTCAGATTGATTTTTACAGAGTAATATTGCAAACTTCTTCAAATACATGATCATCTCAAATTACAGTACAGCATTACCATAAGTCAAAAGGCTATCTAGGTTATTACTAACCATTGAAACAACCCATGTTTCTGCCAAGTGATCATTCTCTGCTTTGAAAAGGATCCATACTTACTGACATTGCATGCAGACTGAGATGAAACTCACTGTGTCATCATTAATAGCAATTGAGAAGAACAAGACTTAGAAAACAGATTTAACTCCTGAGACTCTGTGACAGATATTTTCATTGAAGGAAACTGTGGTATGGAATTTAAGTACAAGTTATAACAAAGGACTCAGTAGTTGCTAACCATTTTTTCTTAGTTTATATTTCATTTCTCGTTCATTCTTTAACTTTATTAATTTGCAGTTCAGACATGCATGATCACATGTACATACTCAATTGTGAACTTTTCAGAACTTCTTTATGCCTCAGGATTTGGCTAACATTGTTTTAAAAGTCATGCTCTGCCACTGGAAGTTAGATTACTATGGAGTAACTAAGAATTTCACACTGTTGGGTTGATTTGCTCACTCTCATAGCACACTCAACCTAAGCACATCACTTCACATTTGTCTATGCTTGCCTGGGCGGCTCTGATTTAAAAGTGGTTGTACTACAATAAGTATGTTGCCATGCATCCAACTTGCAAATTTCACTTCACATTCATCTGATCATTCTCCTATGCCTCTCTGGTTTAAATTAGGTTCTACTAAGATGGGTCAGACTGAAGTTATTCTAAAGCCAGGATAGCTCAGTTGGTATAGCGATGAGCTATGGGCTGGACGGCCGGTGTTCAATTCCTGGTAGGGGTAAGAGATTTTTCTCTCTCCAATAGTGTCAAGACAGTTGAGACTGACTCTGGTGCTCACCCAGCCTCCTATCCACTGTGTGCAAGGTGATCTTTCCCTGGGGGTAAACAGCCAGGGTGTGAAGTTGACCACTTGCCCCATCTAGTGACAAAGTCAAGAATAATGGAGACATGCCTCCACTCCCCCATATACTTTCATGGCATGGTGCTTAACTAATTCATTCAGGAAAGGGACAAATTTACAGTTTCTCTATACCAGGTTTGAGTTACTCAGACTTACACACTGTTGGATAGATTTGCTTACTGTTACACACATGGCTCAGATTTCTTGAGAGATGGTCAAGAGTATCATACCTTGTTTAAATTGTATTTCTTACCATTTTCTTGATTCATGTAAAGCAGTTGCATGATATTTACCCTCATAGTACTATGAGGCCTAAAATTTATATGGCAAAACCTGGATTTTGTTCAAGATCAGCTTTATATTACACATTTAAGTTAAATCCACTCGCCCTTGCTGTACTGATTAAAACATATATTGTAAACACTACTGTATATATTTTCATAAAGTTGAATATCAGATTAATAATGTAATTGGTTGTTTTGTCAAAAGGGCCAAAAAAGAATAAATCCATTCATTATGCATATTGATAGACACACAACAGAGTGAAGTTAATAGCTTGCTTTAGGTATTTCAAGATGCACCTAAATTATTTGTTTTATGACCATGGAAAAGTACGTTAGTTTATTTATTTGTGACTGGGTATGTAAGGTGCTTGTGAGAAGAGTTCTTTGCTAGGAAATTCTGATGGAAAGAAGCCACTTTTTACCTGATTAGGTAAACAGTTACTGGCGTCTTAAGTTGGACTCTATTCCCTGAATTAATTATAAAATCACACCTGCAGTAGTTCATATTATAGAACACTGAGGTGACTGGTGGGTAATGGACTGAAATAGGATGTGGAAGTAAGTTCTTATGGCATAATTTGAGGCACTAAGAATAATGACCACATTCTCAATTATGTATCAGAAGTGAGACTGGAACCCAGGACTTCATGAATATGAAGAAGGAATCCTACCCACTTGCCTGAAACATTCAGTTAAAATGCATGGAGAGTAAAATACATGTAAATAAGGTTAAGGCACCTAGAAGAACTGGGTAGTGACAGCTGAAATGTGTATATTTATGCTTTGTTGGGGGTGAGGGAAGATGACAATATTTGTACAGTCCACATAACCACTAAAACCCTGATCATAGTGGCTGACAAAATCCCTAAGACCAAACCACAGTCAACATGATACATGTCCATAATTGCTGAAAATTAGGTTATGTAACAAGAGGCTGCATTGCTAACTTTACGACTATGAAGTTGGCCAGGATTTCTGTGTCACTTTTGGGAAATATCTGTGTGCTCTTGCAACAGGTATTTTCTTGTTTATTTTCACTAATTTTGACAGATGTAAAACAATTTTCATCCTTTTTCCTAACCCAATAGAAGAAAGCATGACATGATGTTGAATGCTATTTGAACATGTGAACATCGTCATTTTAAGGCTCTGATTATTGTTCTGTGAGCTCTCAAGCTGCATGTGTACTTTGAGAATGTTCGTGTTTGCTGTATGGTACATAAAACATTCCTCACAGAATTCACTCATTATACACATCACACAACAATTATGATGATGATGATGATGGTGATGGTGAAGACAATGACTACTACTACTACTACTACTACTAATAATAATAATAATAATAACAATAATAATAACAACAATAATAAAGTAATGATATAAAATGTGGCTGATATGTGTTGATAACACTGTGAGTGCTACATTTTAAGAACTCTTTCCCAGCCTTTTCCCCTTTTAATATACATTAAATACAAATATTACAAAATAAATTTCCATCATCCTGAAAACCACGCCAGCCATGGGGTGATTCCCCCGGATGAAGGTCATTCTGCTATGTATGTACAGCTAGTAACAGTATGATATAAATGGATGTGCATATAAAACTTCACCACATCTGACAAGATCATATTGCACATAGTATGGAAGTCATTGCCATGGTAGAGTGGGTCATGAGGAACACACACTATTCCAGCAGACTGAGTTTGCTGTTTGTCTTTCTCAGCTGTGCACGCCATGGAATAATCTGGGCTGGTTCATCATTATTGTCCTCTTTGGAGGATATCTGCTGCTGCTGTTCTGGTGTCTTATTTTCCTTGTTGCCATCCTCAACTGTGGGAGCCATCTCACTGCTAGAAGGAATTTGCTGTCTTAGCACTTCCTCAGGTTTTGAAGGTTTTGTCTTCTTGTCATCCACAACCCGAGGAGTATACAAGTTTGTTCTGTGGAAAAGTTCACAAGAAAATATTAGCAAAGTTAATGTACAGCTCCATATTGCAAAATAAAAGTGACAGACATATTCTTACTTAATGTGTAACTTAAGCTTCAGGAATAAGCTGTGTAGAATGTTAATGGCTTTCCACTGTTCTGTCAAGCAGTGACATTGCTGTCTTCACCCTAAAGATGAAAACTACAATGTCCGGCAATTTATTGGAAAATCTTCAACATTTTATGTAACATATTCCTGAGAACCGAAGTTAGACATTAAACTCCAACTGAGAAAACCTGAGACAAATTATATAATTAGTTAATTGTCAAGAGTTTCAGGATAGCAACCTGATTTCAGCATAGTCATACCGTTTTACCCTTAGTGCTTAACTCTGAAGTAATACAACTTCACGGTCTTGTGCCATTTTCCATAAGTGTGAATAGAACCACCTTTGCCAAATCAGCATGAACATTGCTTGGTTGTATCCTTCCTGCTTGGCTCATAACAGATTATGTTAACAGTCAGCATGGTTGTGGTATCCCAAGACCTAGAAGGAGTGCAGGATAGATTGAAGGAAGTATAGAGGATAGGCTGACAGATAAGAATGCCAATTGTCTGCTACAGTAAGGTTCATACAGGAAGGAAACATCAGTGCAACTCCAATCTTGAGTTTTATTTTTCTATGTTCATACGCATAAGATTATCACAATATAAATATACAGTGAAACAACACTATTTCAGAATTCGCGATAATTTGGACAACAACCTTTTTTTGGGGGGGGGGCATTGTTACCTTAATGATCGCATTGCTGCAACCAGCAAGATGTAGTAAAAGCAATGGAACATGAACTAAAATAAGTTAATTTTTTAAACACAGTCTCAATAATTTTTTTAATGCTAGTGGGGTGAGACTAAGTCCCTTGTACTGCGGCCACTTCTGGCCTGTTGTACCAGCCCCAGATGATAAGTGAGGGTGATTGTGGAGCAATTGGTGGAATGAAGAATGGCAGGGGAAACCGAAGTACTTGGAGAAAACCTGCCCAGCACCACTTTGTCCACCACAAATCCCACTAACCAGACCCGGAATCGAACCTGGGCTGCCACGGTGGGAAGCCAGTGACTAACCACCAGTCTCAATAATACTAAGTATGCAACGATATTTTCAAGATGACAAGTAAATTTATTTTATGGTATGCAATCTAAGTTGAATTGCCTAAAAAGGTGTGTGAAGTGCATTTTTATAACTTCCCTGAACATATTTTCAGTAACATTTTTCTGATTCAGACTTTGCTTGCAGTTATTCCAAATTAGTGAGGTCTTGCTGTATTTAAATATTTGCTTGTGTGATTAATATGGTTGTAATGTAAGTTTATTCTAAGTGTCAGGGTGCTCAATTCATTCTCTAAATATCATTACATCTTTGCGATCGCATGTCTTCTTGACTCTGTTTTTGTAAACTTCATTCCCTGTGAACCATGTATATACATATTTTACAACACAGTTTTCACTTAGAGGCTGTCATTCTCAGTGTGTTATATTGCCATTTCACATTACATCAGTTTAATCACTTTAGTTTTGGAAAAGATATTTTAAATTCCACAGTACTATGGGATTGATGGCCAGATTTTAAACTAGAGGTAACTACTGTAAAATGTGTTCAGAATTCAACAAGGCATCTCATCATTTGTTATATAAGCTTGTGCATTATTAATTAATTTACCCAGCCTTACATGTTATTGAATGATGTGTTAAGACCACTGTTTATTGCCATCTCCTATGAATAACATGCTCAAACAGTCAATTATAATCCACCTCCTTTGTATAGTACATTGCAATTCATATTGTCATGTGTATCGGGGGTAGTGTGATTAATAATTGTGGATTCTATATTTGATGAATGGATTTATTTGACATCACTATTACAATTACACTTGATTATAACAGTTCACACACACTCAGCTCCTTCTGGCTAATGAATCCTTCTCCACGTAGTTCTGCTTAGTTCTCAAAAGCATGCCGATTCACTGCCGACTCACTTCTTCTTCTGCAGTCTGTCATATTCTGCTTTATATCTGCTTGTGGTACCAAATAGGGACACTGAGTCGAACAGGTCATTTCTCCGTTGTCACGAAAATGACCCCTCTGTTGGTGTGAGAACAAACGTTTACCTAGCCGTTGCTCAACAACCGCATTTCGTGTTACCACAGGAATATGCTCCACGAAGCAACGCCCAGCAGATGGGCAGGTTGCAGCTTTCAGGCTGCCCATCACAATATGTTCACATGAAAATATTTTCAGTACTCACAGAGTACGGTCATACCAGGAGTTTGAGGAGCAGTTACACACAGAGCAGTCTGTCCTGAAACTCAACACTCAGCACTCAGCATTCAGCATTTAGATAGAAGTTTTAAAAATCCTTCTTTCATAGTTATCAGCAGTCTTCTTTTAAATTAATCTATTGCTGACAACATTTTATAATCCATTTTTTAACAGAAAACATTTGGTCATGCCCAAGACTACAATAGTAGTCTAAATTATATAGACATAAGTTTGAACAGTGATTGTAAGTAAAGTTGTTTGAGTTCATCTTAGTGAAATCCTTGGGTTCAACATTATTCATCACTGTGAATTAATTTCCCTTTGGTATCACTAAATCCATCTCTCTTTAAATACAGTCAGTGCATTTCATGTCTTCACTTTACACCCATATATATGACCCTGTAACTGAGATCTCATATTCTGCTGAGCTGGCCAAACCCGGAAATAAATCCAATCATCCAAATAATAACCCCTTCCCTGCTCTTAAACACTGACACAACCACTGACACTCATACCACCCAAGTGGTAAAGCATATCCAGTGCCTTGTGATATGATTATCATCAAGGAGACACTGACTCCAGTAAAATGGCCTGGGTATAACATGAAGATGGTAAAGATGATAAATGATCTAGCCATATGATAATTTCACGAAGAAAAAGTAAAAAATGACTCATGTGGTGAGAAGCTATCGTCTGTTGCCTGTTAAGAAATTAACATGAAGAAAATATGTATTTCAGCAAACAAATAGAAACTAAGAAGGGGGAAAAAAAGCTCTGTTCAGTGTCTTCAGAAAGGCTTGTGTAGAAATATGAGCTTTGGATTATTGCAATTAGTAATGAGGTCTTGGTTTTCCTGTATGATCTGGAAACAAAATACTATCAGCCTTTCACACTTAGTTTTAATTTATTTGTGCTTTATTCAGTGGCACTGTTGGTATCTCAGTCTATACAGCATCAAACGGTAGGGTGATCAATGAACAATGCATTGGAAAGCATGTGGAAGGAAGCAGTCATGACCTAATTTCAGGTTCTGTCCTGGCAATTGCCTGGAGGAACTGAGAACAATGAAAGCCCTCAGTCAGGATACTGGTTTCTGGGCTAGGCTTGACTCTGTGACCTCCCAGATATGAAGCTGGAACAGTAACCACTCCATCACAATGCTTTGTCATCCATCGATAACCCAACTTGTGAACGGTGCCTACAAGAAAACGAATCAGCCACACACATGCTGTGTGATTGTGAGGCCATAGCTTATTTAAGATTTTGTCACTTGGGTCAGCTTTTTATGGAACCAAGTGACTTTTATGACACCAGCATAAGCAGGGTCCTACTTATTAAAAGTGTAGGATTAATAAAGGGCTAATCCAAGGGGAAGCACAATAGATTATTGAAGGTTGCAGGCCGGTTTTATGGCCCACCCCTTACACCCATTGCATTAAATTACATTGTCATCCCTCCTGTTTTCCTGCTAATGCATACAATATAACAATGCATAACAAAAGTACATAACAAAGTAAATTAAGATGGTGATGTAAAATAGTGTGAAACACATCTGTCCTGTGAGCTGCAGCTACACATCGGTTCAGTACAAACCCAAACTTTTTCCTTGTTTACTGTCTAATGTGTTTTCTTGAATTGTTATTGCAGTCCCCTCAAGCATCTCCAAGCATGTAGCATCCTCACAGCATTGACTGCATTCTATATATTGGGAATGGTGGGGGGAGGGGTGCCAGGCATCTGACCTCCTTCCCCCAGGTTTTTGGAAGAAGTAAAAATTGAAAAAAATAGGAACGAAGTATACCAAATATTAACACCAAAGACTGAAAACTTTTAAAGAAAATATTCTGCTCCAGAGTGATCATTAAATATAATCTTGAACTGCTTAAATGTAAATTTATAAGAAAAATTTCTCTCTGCTCCCTTTGGAAGAAAGAATTCTTGAAAAAATTCTTGTAGTGTCTATAATTCTGTAAGAGATGAACAATTCTTCCTTGTGGCTGCAAACATGGGCAGTGAATCTATCATATGTTTGATACATCAGTATATTACTGTCTCAGATCGAACAATGTAGCAGATTGTCCGAATACTTCACTGTGTCTTACTATCTACATCCAGGGTTCATTTCCCTATCAGTCCTGATGAAGATTAATTCATATGGAAAAAGGCCCCTTACAAGAAGAAAAGCAATATTTACTATTCTCTTGCTCACCATTACTTTAAATATGTACATATCAATTCTGTATTGTTCTTATGCTCATAACCTGTTTCGCCAAAATCCACTTTAACACTGTCAACCAAAATTTGTCAAGGTCTTCTAAATTGTAATTTTCCAGGAAATAACAACACTTGTTTTATTATTATAGGTAATGTCAACATAATATTATCTAAAAACCAAGGTAGTGGCACATTCACTGCCAATCCCATCACGTATCAGATTGAAGCATACTGTGTGTCAGTACCAATTCCATCATTGATGGGCTATTGGCATTGAGCATATGAATGTTATTTTCTGCTATAGAAGTCACTTGAGAAAACTGTTAGCGGACAGTGTTGAAATCTACAGTGGTCACCAACTGTTTCACACTTACTCTCTCCATTTCTGTTTCAAAATTAATAAATTCTGAATCCATCTTTTGTGGAAAATTGGTTGGCCCAGCATGTAAAACCCCAGTAAAAGGACATGGTAATGAACATGTTACAGAAGTATTTAAACTGTCAAAAATATGAGGATAGTGTGGCGATATTTATGTTTGTCACTAACAAACAACAAGCCCTCCATTCTGTCCTATGACCATTCATAATATTTTTCTGTAAAGAATGATTCCATATTAAACTGACAGATATACTGAACATCTTTCACCGTCTTATTCTTGGTTACGACATACCATTTCTGGCTCTGCTTCTATCATCCCTGGACCAAGAACAGAATTATTTCCATATAATGGTCCCAACCCAGTAGGATTTCATAATTTTACCTCAAGATGGAAGCACAGCCAGCTCTGAAGTCACTTTGTTTTTAACTAAAACCAGAATGAGAGAAGATGTCCAACATGTGTGTCAGTTTTAAAACATACTTTCATAACAAACTTATCTTTAGGATAGAGTAGGGCCGCGCCATAACTCAAGCGGTTAGTCGCTGGCTTCTCACTGTGGTGGCCCAGGTTCAATCTCGGGTCTGGGCAAGTGGGATTTGTGATGGACAAAGTGGCGCTGGGGCAGGTTTTCTCCAAGTACTTCCGTTTCCCCTGCCAATCTTCATTCCACCAATTGCTCCACAATCACCCTCACCTATCATCTGGGGCTGGTACAATAGGCCAGAAGTGGCCGCAGTACAAGGGACTTAGTCCCACCCCACTAGCATTAAGAAAAAAAAAGTTTAAGAGTACCTTGAAAATTCAAGGAAATTACACAACCAGGAATCTTCTCATGGTGTCAAAATTTCACATAGAAGTACCAGACAAAACGATGAAGGTAAACATCAGAAGAAAATAGCTCTTGTTGCAAGGTCTAACCCTCTGATTACCGAATAAATCCTATTAAAACTGTTTCCGCACTCAAAGGGTGCTTATTTTCACGAACTACTATACCAAATTAAAGGTACTGGTTGGTCATCACACTGTTTTAAGCTGTTTTAGTTTTAGAATTTGCACCCAGCAATCTGTTTGTAGCAGTTTTAACTCACTTCCTGCCATCATGCTCCTCCTTTTTGGCCAACAGTTGCCTCTTCCAGGGGGGGATGGCCTGCAGGCGTTTCTCTTCAGCCTCCTTCAACATCTGCTCCTCCAGTTCTTTGCGGGCTCGCTCTGCTGCCTTCTTGGCCATCATCTGTCTCTTCCATATTGGAATTGGGTTGCCTGTTGCATCCTTCTCTGGAATCTGTGGAAAACACTCAACCTAGTGGGACAGCTCTACTGAAGAGGCAGCACTCTTTAGCATCAGTAGGGAAACTAAAATATTTATTTATTTCCATGGTTTTGTCAAATCATCATGAACATTATCAATTATTGCCAATTTCAAGAGAGGGCCCTTACATTATTTTCTGGTGTGATGTCATGCATTCTGTTCCATTGCAGTAGGAACTGAAACTGAATCTATATACCTCTGTATGGAACCCGAAGGTTCATTACCATTACACAAGAGCCTGCCACTCACCCCTGTTGTGAGCCAAATCCAGACCACACTCCCCACTTGTCTCTAAGATCAATTTCAACATTACCTTTCCATCTACTCCTATGTCTCCCTAATTATATGTTTCTGTCAGGTCTTCCTAGCAAATGCATGCATGCATTTCATTTCTCTTCCCACAAGTGCTACATGCCCCTCCTATCTCATTCTCATTGACTTAATCATCCTAATAACTTTTTGTGAAGGGTACAAATGATGAAGCTCTTCATTAAGTAGTTGTCTGCAGCTTCCCATGACTTCCTCCATTTTAGTTCTAAATATTTTTGAAAACTCTGTTTGTTTGTTTTTTCTGTTAATGTGAGAGACCAAATTTCATACTCATACAAAGCAACATGCAAAATTATATATCTATATATTTTAATGAATCTCAACGTCGTTTTAAATAGCTGGCAGGAAGAGAAAGATTCAGTACTGAATGGCAGCAAGCATTTCCCAAATAAATTCTGCCCTTACTTTCTTCCCTACTGCAGTTTTGATTTGATGTCATTCCAAAAATTTTAACTTTACCATATTTTCAAAGCATGTGTTAGCTATTTTTCTGTTTTGTTTTCATCCTGCATTCTGGTGATGAGATGCCAACACATAGGTTTATATATGTGGGTGTCAGCTGGCAGAGGAAAGCCAGACAATTCCCCCCCCATCACTGAATAAGGTCAGAATTGATGAGAAGGAGGCAATATATCACAATGCTAATAACAGATATCAAGAGCACTCTAAATGATTTGTATAAATATTCTTAAACAGATTAAATGTAACTTTGTAAATAAATTTTGTCACCATCCTCCTTGGAAGATTGCCTGCTGCTCCTTGAAATAAATTCTGATGGCAATCATGCATACTTAGTTTTATCTGCACTTATTTCTAGGTCACTGTCATCACTGGCAACTAATAGAGCTCCTGTGTGTCCAAGTCTGATGCCCTGTGTAACATATATTGTGACTAACATGCCAACATTTTACAATGAGTTGTTCCTGGCCCCTCCCCATTTTGACCGCCTCAGAAAGCTGAAAGACCACCTCTTGTTGGCTGTCTGCTACTGTTCATTCAGTACACTTGCAACTACCTTCAACATCTACAGGCCTTTTCCACTTTCCAGAACCTGAGGACACATCATGCTACGGTGATGAGGGACCCATTTAGCATGGTACTCATCATACATAGCATCTGCAAATTGCCTTATTTTTGTTTCAGAATCCTGAAATAAGTTAAATTTACATTTCAGATATGCTGCTGTGATGTCAGTGTTGGCATACTTCATGTAACACACAGACCATTACTAAAAGGAAAAGACAGGTCAGCAACAGCAAAAAGAGTCATTTTTATTCATAGAGATGCTCTTAAATTTATGTGGAAGTTGTTTTCCAAAATGGTCAAAGGGGATGAAATCACATAAATTGAACATAACTGTCCCAGAAGGACTAGTGGGTATGTTGTAAGTCTACTACAAAAAGTATTAGGATATTTCTGCTGTTATTTAAACTAACTGCAATGTGCAATACAGTACTAATTTCTTTTCTATTTAATAATACTTAGAACCTTCTAGTAAAAATAATTTGTGTTTAAAATTATTTCCTTTGAAGAAACAATGCTAGACTGCTAAGAAGAGAAGATGGCAAGATGTCCTTGAAATATACACAGAAATCCTGTGCTGACTGACTAAACTAACCCCAAGGAACTGCATCCTTCTTGAGAAGCCACAAGTTGCTCAGCTACTCAAGAATTTCCCAACATTTTATGGAACAAGAAGGTACATTATCATGTTCACAAGAGCGCTCCAGTGGCCCCTATCCTGATCCACACCAACCCAGTCCATACCACCAGTGCCACTGAGTAAGATGAGATGAGATTGCTGAAAAATGTACTTTCAGAAAAAGAGTGCTGTTAATAATTATTTTAAAAAGCTACCGAAAATGTGGATCTATACATCCACTCCCCCATACGCCTTCATGGCATAGTATTTAATTAGTTAAGCACAGGGACAATGTTACCTTTCTACCATTTTTTACCAAAAACATAAAGAAAATCCTAAAAAGGAAGGAAGACTACAGATTTTAAAAGATAATATGTGAAGAAAGAAGTTCACCCTTTAACACCCAGTGGTTATACATATTACCTTCATCAAAATTTAAAAATATTGTACTTTGCCCATGAAGTGTAGCTGTGTTTCAAATGATTCTTGGAATAAATAGCATTTATTTCCCACAGCAGCATTAACTTGTTAGTTTTTGTAATGGAGATGTATTATTTCCTGCAAGATAGGAACTGACATTTTAAATAGTATTTAGAGGAGCTTGGGGGCACTGCACTACTAAGCAGAAGGTAGAGGGTTTGATTCCTAATGAGGTCATTGGATTTTTCAATTGACCTAATCATTCCAGATGCACTATGACCCTAGGGATAACTTAGTCTCTAAGATAATGAATACCAGGAATCTTCCTAGGTGTAAAGGGTGGCTGGCATGCAAGACTGACAGCGTTACTGTTATCTGTGAGCCGACTGTCTAGAGAAAATATGGGAGCTTCTATGTCTCAAACCTATGGGCCTCCATGGCCTGTAACAGGGCTAGGTTTATTTTAGAGAGGAGCTTTGAACTTCAAACATATGAACCGCTGACTTAAGCAGTTCTTTTTTTTTATATATATAGAAATATGTTTGTTTAATCTCATGTTCAGTTTTAGCCTCAAAGCCAAACATACAACAGAGGCAGATGTGTGACTTCTCACATTTCATAAATTGCCAGTAGTCATCAGCTGTTCACACATACATGCACAGGCTGACTGAAAGTTGCAAACAGGACAAAATGGAGGCCTACCTTCTCAACAAAGCTGTTGGCTGTGAGTTGTCTGGTGATTTCACTGAACATCTCCTTCTCCTGCTGCTCCTCCACCTTGGCACGCTCCACCTTCAGCTTCTTGATGCCTGTGATGTCCTTGGACAACTTTAGCTCTGCAATAAGGTCCTCCTTCTGCAGCATGAAAGGATGATCCCCTAAGGTAACAAAATATAGCTGATAATATTAATGTGCACCTCAGTTGTGATCTTAATCACGTTTTTGAGTCTGTTTAACAACTCTCTCTCAGCACAGACTTCACTACATTATTCTGGTTAGAAAAATGTAATTGTCTTAAAAATAATTTTAATTTCTGGTATTAATATTTGGTACCGCTATATCTCCTCCTATTTTAAAGTTTAATTTTTTCCCCCAAAGAAAAATCCAGGAGGGAGAGCAGATGCCTGACTCCCTCATCCATGCCAGCACGCAAGATATCAATTGATCATATGTCAAACACCAGTAAGAGGCAAACGTTATATCTGTGTTTGATAAAGCAGCACGGTATGGAGACGTATAGGGAGTGGAGATACAGCTCCATGCATTCTTAACCTCTGTGCTAGATACAGGTGAGCAGCCAGCTTCACATCCAGGCTACTTTAAACCTGGGGAGAGAACCACTGGTGTTCAATGGACAGGAAGGTGGGTCGGTCTCAGACGCGTTCTGAACACTTAGGTGAGATAAATCTCCTGATCCTTCCAAGAACTGAACCCAGATTCCTCTGTTCCCCAGCCCCTGTAGCCTTGTTGCTAAATCGATTGGGATATCTCACCTCCAGCAAGTAACCGTAGTAATGAATTATGGATTATATAGTATAATTCCCGCTCCAACTCTGTTTGAAAATATCCTCATTTATTACATAAACGTTCCTACTTTTATCTCCTCCCCTCCTTTCTCTCACATTACTTTGCAGTACCTTTTATTTGTCCGTCCTATTGTCAGTCCTCTCTGTCTCTACAATTCGTTAAAAGAATTCAGATAAACGTAGTTCAAAATACACCTTACTCGTAATATGCTGCTCAGTTTGTGTCATCATCTTTCTTATATGTCCGAAAGCGGCCTCCGTAGTCTAGAGGTAACGTTCCCACCTCATGACTCGTAGTACGCGGGTTCAAATACCCGGCGGAGGTCGTCGAATTTTTAAGGGCGGAAAAATTCAGGGAACAAGTCCTCCGGGAGGGACTTTAAGCCGTGGGTCCCGTGTCGTAGCTTTACGGCACGTAAAAGAACCTCATATCTCCAAAGGAGGTCACTGAGCCAAATTAACGGACGTTTCCCGCCCAACAGCAGTTTCTAATACCTCTGGTAGATGGGGGAAGCATTATAGATACCTCTCAGCTAGTAGAGCCGGTCTCGCTGGCTGGGCGGGACTGATGGTAAGCACCAGTACCGGTAGGATATAGAGACTGGTAGAAATCATAGAGGGAAGCACAATGGACCAATACAGGTCTCAGCGCATGGGGAAACCCACCCTCTCCAATAACTAACTGACTATATGTCCGAAACACTAAAAACGTCTTATACTCGTAATATGGATCACTTTCGGACTTCGTTTCAATGGAAACAACGTGAGATCAATGCAACGACAAAATGGCAACGCTGTTCTGCTTCTACTAATTTGATAAAGATATGGTAGAAAGTGGTTTACGGTTTATTTAACAAGGCTTTCAGTAGCTCAGTTTACTCGTAGACAGTACTGAATCGGGTAGGATGTTTAGAATGTGCGAAGATGTATATGGAAACAGTTGTGACCTATTTCAAGATACTATGTCGACATTCATCTGGACTGAGGATAAACGCGAAAAACCTAGCTCAGTGTAGTCGACGTCCCGACAGAATTTCGAATCAGGCGGAAGAAAGTGGACAAGTTCTGTTTTAAAGGTACTGTCGCTGTATGTTGGCGGAGTAATTGAGGAAAACCGTGAGAAATTGCTCTGGATATCTAATCCGAGTCCGTGATTCAAACTACGTAATTCCGAAATGCGAATTAGTGGGGTTATTGCTGTTCTACCCAGCCGCCTTGATCATCACCAAAGCGATGCGTGATACAGAATGAAGAGAGAGTGATGCCATGCTCTGATACACCGCTCGTGCTTTCGCTTGGGCGAATTTGCGTCGTGAGAGTATAAACTGTTGAGGTTATGTGCAGCACGCACTCAACAACCGCCCGTCCCACACCGGTATTCAGACCGGGATCTCCGGACCAAGAAATCACTGTGATAACAGTGCTCATGGGAAGCTGACAGTAGCTCTGCCTGTCAAGTAATTCTCCAACTTCCTTGGTATCCAAATTATAAGAGTACCAGAAGGAAGAACCTTTTTGAGAAATTATTAGTTAGTCAGCTCGTCAAGAAATTCCCAGCATTTAATAGAACCCGAAGGTTCATTACCGTGTTCACAAGAGCCTGCCACAGGTCCCTATCGTCAGTCTGATGCATTCAGTCCACAACCTCCGGTCATATTTCTTTAAGATCGATTTCAACACTTTCCTCCCTATGCATAGGTCTTCCAGCGGTCTCTTTCCTTCAGGTTTTCCTCCCAAACTTCGTACTCATACATCATCGCCCCCACGTATGCTGCATGCCTTGCCCATCTTTTTCTCCTTGACTTGATCATTCTAATAATTATCTTCCGGACAGAACAAATTATGAAGCTCCTCGACGTGCNTGTACTCATACATCATCGCCCCCACGTATGCTGCATGCCTTGTCCATCTTTTTCTCCTTGACTTGATCAGTCTAATAAATATAATTATCTTCCGGACAGAACAAATTATGAAGCTCCTCGACGTGCAGTTTTCTTCGGACACCTAGTAATTTGTCCCTGTTAGATTCAAATATTCTCGGCACCCTGTTCTAAAACACCCGCAATCCTGCTACTTCCCTAATGTGAGAGACAAAATTTCACTCTGACACAAAATGCGGGCAAAATTACAGATTCGTATATCTGAATGTTTACATTTGTAGACAGAAGAACGGAAGACGAAAATTCTGGACCGGAAGACATACAAATGTGGAACAAGAAAAGACAAAGGAAGTGATACATAAATATTTATATTACAGTTGAAGCGGTTAGACGCCGACTTCTCACGATGGAGGCTCAGGTTCAATCCTGCGTGATTCCATGTGGGATTCGCGGTGCACGAAAATTTGTTGTTGCAGCGGTTGTTTACATTCAGGATGTAACTGGTTGGAATATCGACCCAAACATCGGGCCACACTGGTTGTGAAGTTTCGTGTTTTCTTTCAGTCCCTCCGGGCAAATGCCGGGACAGTACCTCGAGCATGCCACGACGGCTTCCTTCCAAATCCTTTCCAATTCATTATTCATCAGCCGTTCTACCATTTGACGTTGTATAGTCTACCTACTGACGGTGCCAAAAATAAACCGCAAGAAAAGATGTGGCCCCGGGGGCGACTCAGCCTCTAACAGAAATGAGTACCAGGAATCTTCATGGAGGTAAAGGACGGCCGGCGCGTAAGGCTGACAACCTCACCGCCATCTGCCAGCTGATTGCCTAGAAAATGTAGGAGCCTCGACGTGTCACAGCTCCATGGGCCTCCACGGCCTGTTACAAGGATAGCTTTACTTCTTTTTTTTAACTAGTTACATTTTTCTGGAATGAGAAATGTCTTCAGCGAAGCTGTAGAGTAGAACAGAGTGTATTTTATGTCCAATTCAGTTTTCCGTACGTTTTACGGTTTCTAAGACAAGCAAAAATGACTGGTCGCGCTAGAATCGTTGCCATTGGAGACTTGAAACGAAACATAGGCCGAACCCCACTTTGATTGTACTGCGCTTACTCACAGACGCCGTCAGCGTTCTTTTCCAGGGAAGGGCAGGCGGAAAATTTGCTTTCATACTTGCTTATAAATCGTTTAAGACCTTTTTTATCATATTTTCTCTATTTTGAAAGGAAAAAGTAGGGTTATGAAATCACCTTTCTGTCTATGTGCTCGCTTGTGTAGCCCCCCTATTGTTGCTAGGCAACGGATCCGTAAACACCTTCCCTCAGCAACGAATACACATGCAACAACAGAAGAATTGTTGGACGCGTTGTTTTCTATGCGGTCCGTCTCATACGAATGGGATTTAGGAGATTATTTCTCTCCATAATTTCTTGCTTCTTTAATTTTACTGATTTTCCTACGATACTCCGGGTAGAAAAACAATTTTAAGCACAATTTTACATTTTAGCATTAATACTTGGAGTATTTCCTTCCTTTCTTAAATTCCTTCTTTTTTTTTTTTATATCCGGGGAGCGCAGATACCTGACTTGCCTCAACCTCCTCCGGCGCCCATAAGCGCCTCCACCACGTATGGATTAAGTAAGATAGCATGTTTGTATTTACTTCTCCTATCTATCTCTGTTTTTTCCACTTGCGCCCTCCCAATCTGCCTTCTGCATCGGCCCATTCATTATGGCCACTCTTTCCTTGCTCGGTTTCTCCTGGCTTCCCTGCACTCTCTGTTAGTTCATTCAGAGCCACTGTTTCTTCCTTTCACTCGGCACATGGAAAATGGCCGTAACATTTATCACACCGTTCTCCTTTCTCCTCTTGGTTCGCTGAGAGCTCCGGTCCCGTCCCCCTTCTCCTTATATCGATGTCACTTACTTCCACTCGGATTTCATAAGATACAAGGGTAAAGATATCCATGTGAGAGGCCGTGGAGACCCATAGGGTTGTGAGACGTCGGGGCTCCCACATTTTCTAGACAACAGGCTCACAGATGGCGGTGAGACTCTCATCTTTATGAGTCGGCCGCCCTTCAACTCAGAAAGATTCCTGGTACTCATTTTTGTTAGAGGCCGAGTTGACCCCAGGGCCATACTGCGGCTAGAAGGATTAGGTCAATTGAAAAATCCAATGACCTCAACGGCAATCGAATTGGCTTGTAGCATAGTGCCTCCAGCAGCTGCCCTACCGCGTATCCTGACCGTAAGGATTCAGATGAAAAAAATTTCTGGTCATGAATCACAAGTAACTCTGACTCTGACTCTCATTTTATGCAAAAAAAAAAAAAGTGTGGTCATGAGCCTGGAGACAGGACTCGACACCAAGACTGACTGACCATCTGTCGTAACGTGATTTTGACTCTGATTCTAGGATTACTCTTATACCCTGAAAATTGAGGAAGCGGGGTCCTCCGAAACGTTGACAACTATTTACCAGACTGTACAGCGTGATCTGAGAAGGCAGTTACTTCATATCGATTGCCATGACAGCCTCAAATTTCAGAACATCTATCAAATGCAACAGAAATCCATTAAGTAGTTAAGAGGGGCAGACAGACCTATACATTATGCATGCAACGTACGCAGTTCTTGCGAAAGATCTGCAGGAGCAAACAGCAGCCACTCTTGCGATATAGGAAGTGATGTCACACCCGTCGGAAGGTCGTTACCGTGCTAACAGATCTTCCTCGCACTGGCGACAAATTAACGGACGAGCAAAACTTCCGCTTTGCGCTCCAACGAGGCGAATTCCTCCGAAACGTATTGACTATGAGACACCAAACAAAAGTTTCCATTTCGTTGGACTTGAAGTTCTAACGGCGTGGAGTATGAAGGGCACGGGGTTCGGGTTATACTGCAGCGAAGTTCGGTAGAAGTCCATTGACGTTTCGAAGGAACGCATCGCCTCCATCTTCAGGTCAATAAAAGAAGCTAAGCAAGAAATCAACAATAAACAATAGGCAAATAGCATTCTTACTGGATTCTTGCTTGGTTTGCTCTACGTTCCTGAAGACGGAGGTGATATGTTCCTTCGAAATGTTGGCGCACTTCGACCGAAATACGCGGCATTATGACCCAGAACCTCGTGGTTAATTAAAGTTTCCATTAACGAGTACAATAAATTAGGAGCTGCGATTATATTGCTGCCTGGGTGAGAATATTTGCTTCCATACCGACAAACTACTGATGCATACCTGCAAACTTGTCAAGTCTGCACATCTGCCGGGGGCGCTGTATGTTTCGATTTTGAGGCTAATGCTGAGCATAAGGATGTCGGCAGAAAGCGCTGCCTATACTGGAAGAGAAAACTAGGAAACGAAGACCCTGTTATGGAAGCTAAACCCACGACGATATTTCAGGATTCTACACAAAATTGCGGTCTTTTTCTGGCATAGAATTTGAAGTAGGCCTATAGGCGGTAGGAATTAAATTCTATCTTCTGCCCGTCAACGTTTTAACGCAATTATTGTTTTTAGCCTATTTTCTCAAGGAAAGAGAACAGGCTTACGAGAGCACTACGAGGTATTCTGACCACTTAGATGTAGCATGACAATTCTTTAATTGTGGGCTGAAAGGACCGCCTCTGTGGTATAGTGGTCAGAGTTCCTGGTTCGATTCCCAGCGCTACCAGATTTTCTGAGAAGTAGTGGGTCTGGAACGAGGTTCACTGAGCCTCATGAGGATAAGTGAGGAGCTATTTCAAGGAAATAGCTGCTTTGGTCTAGAAAACCGAAATTAACGGCCGTGGGGATTCGTTGCGCTGACCACGCGACATCCTCTGTCCGCTAAAGTTGGCACTAACTTCGCCGACAAGCGGTGGTCGCTCCGTCGGTATAGTTCGCTTGCGGTCTACATGCCACGGAGTTAGTTTTTAGTTTACTTGTGGGCTGAACTTAATTGTTTGACGAGGAATTTTTTTGTTATCGGTGTTTCTTTTTTCGCCTTTCAGCGTTCCGACTAGCTGAAATATTTCCACAAAACTTTATATGAGCTGTATTCTCCTGTATACTGCTCTAAAGTCACAGTTTTTAATTCCCTATAATCAGCAACAGCATCACGCTCGGCGTGCAAACTGCTACTGGGCCTCGACATGATTTGTGGTAATAAACCCATTAGTTCGGAGAGCATGCAGCATATGTTACGGTTTCTTTGTGGAATACAAAACCATACGACAGCCGTGCGAAATTGTTCTATTGGTTTCATAGCGATAACTAAATTAACCACTGGAGCCAGGCGTAGTACATATAAATTTGGTACGGAGGCAGATTATAAACATATTAATATATTATTTTGAAATTTTGCTTGTAGGTGGATAATTACAAACATGGCGACGATGCGAAACTTTGAGGTTACGTCCGATGAATTTACTGTAAACAGAACTCCTAATAAAGTAATAAGTTATTCGCAAAAATTAATAAATATTGATCAGTCCCGCTCACCTGTGTGCCGCGGAGGCGCCGAGAGCGTCTTGGCGGCCAGCATTTTGTCTGTTCTCCTCAGCTGCACGCTGCTCAACTCCTGGATACTGATGGCCCCAAGAGGTTGTTGCTGTTTCCTGACCGCTGTGGGAGAGATGCAGTCCCCGGCGGGAAGAGGAGGAGGCGGTGGACCCGGCGTTGCGGACGCCACTGTGTCAGGGAGCGTCTCCGTCTTGCTTGATGTCAGCTCGTCCACAGGAGTATCGGACGCCTTGAGTCGGCTGCCTCCCAGACTGCGCAGGTACTCAGAGGGCTTGATGAGCGAGTTGGAGTCGGCCGCCGTGCTGGGAAACCTGGGTGGGATGAAGGGCAGGACCAACTGCTTGTTGACCAGGTTCGGAGCCGGACGCTGCTCGTCGCTCTCCTCGCTGAGACTGGGAGATATGCTGGGGGACCCAGGCCTCTTCACTGTCAAGTGAAATCTAGTTCACCCATTTGCGCACAGAGCGAGCCAGCTCCTAAATGCCCAGCCAGCAGAACTAATTGCCCCTAAGCCTCAGGAGCAATCAATTAGCAGGAGGAAAGTCGAGCTACTTGCCGCGTGGAGGAAATCGGGAATATTATCTCACAGTTTGCGGTGAACGTTTATATAATATTTTGTTGTTTGGTTGCTCGATTCACGCGACACCGTCTCGTTCTGTAATTACCGCCCCTGCCTTCCTCACGACAGTTACTCCGCTGTAACGGAACCTTCCTGGTTTCTCATAATTACGAATATACACGCTCCCGGGATGAGCAAAAAGACAGTCAGTTCCAAATGATGCTGACTGCTTGACCGAGATCAGATTCTTTCTTAACTACAAGACATCTCGAAGAAATCTTCTGAAATTTGAAATGGCTAGGCTGCAAGAACGAAACGTATAGTAAAGTCCGGGTAGGTAGACATTTGTCTGATAAATTTCCTATCCAGAATGGTCTAAAACAAGGAGATGCTTTATCGCTACTCCTTTTCAACTTTGCTTTAGAATATGCCATTAGGACGGTCCAGGGAAACCAGGTGGGACTGAAATTAAACGGGACACATCAGCTGTTGGTCTATGCCGATGATGTGAACTTACTGGGGGATAATGTAGATACCATAAAGAAAAACACACAAACTTTAATTGACGCAAGTAAAGTGGCTGGTCTAGAAGTAAACACTGAGAAAACTAAGTATATGTTGTTGTCTCGTCACCAAAATGCAGGGCAAAATCATGACATAGAGAGAGGAAAGAGATGTTTTGAAAATGTGGCACAGTTCAGATATTTGGGAACAGCAACAGATCGAAACCTGATTCGGGAGGAAATTAAGAGGAGATTGAATTTGGGTAATGTTTACTACCATTCAGTCCAGAACCTTTTGTCTTCTCGTCTGCTGTTCAAAAACATAAAAAATTAGAATATACAAAACTATAATTTTGCCTGTGGTTCTGTATGGGTGTGAAACTTGGTCTCTGACATTAAGGGAGGAACATAGACTGAGAGTGTTTGAGAGCAGGGTGTTGAGGAGAATATTTGGACCGAAGAGAGATGAAGTGACAGGAGGTTGGACAAAACTGCACAATGAGGAGCTTTATAACTTGTACTCTTCTCCAAGTATAATTAGAATGATCAAGTCAAGGAGGATGAGGTGGGCAGGTCATGTAGCACGAATGGGGGAGACGAGGAATGCGTATAGGATATTGGTGGGAAAGTTCGAAGGAAAGAGACCACTGGGAAGACCAAGGCGTAGGTGGGTGGACAATATTAAAATGGATCTTAGAGAAATGGTATCGGATGGCATTCATTGGATTGATGTGGCTCAGGATAGGGACCAGTGGAGGGTTCTTGTGAGCACGGTAATGAACCTTCGGGTTCCATTAAATTCTGGGAAATTCAGTAGCTGCAGAATTGGCGGCTCCTCCAGAAGGGCTCAGCTCCATGAGTAAATAAGTAAGTAAGGCTGCTAGAAGTTTACAGATGTTTCGGAGTGACATATTGCCTTCGTCTTCAGGATCGAAGTCGAGCAGGTAGGCCACAAACAAGATAATCTACTTTCCGCTCCTTTAATCTGCCTATACTGCGACCCTGAACATGAGGACAGTGCGTTCCTCCGAAACGCAAACTTTTAGTGGGCAATGTGGGGTCACATCCCAGAAGACAGTACTATTCATTGTCACCGCTGTGATAACCTCAGATTTCACACAGAATGTGTCATCTCTCTTCTTCACCTAGCAATTTCTGACCCACATATTCCTTCTTCGCGGACAATGACGAAGTTGTTTCAGCGAGAGAAGTTTCTGATTTTTTGTTTGTATGCTTAGTATTTCCTTTTTTGTTCTTGTCGTTTCTGTTTAGACCTAAACAGAAAATATCAGGAACAAAATAAATAAGAATCAAAATATTAAGCAAGTAAACAAACAAACTAAAAACTAAGTAAACACAGAATAAAAATATCCTCCCATTAAAACATGAACAGAGATGGAAAGGAATGAAAGAACACAAAGAAAGCAAAAAAGGCATGACGCCATCCCATTAAAACACATAAAGAATATAAGGTAAAAAATGTAAAGTTATCCCTGTGCTTAACTAATTAAGCGCTACGCCATGAAGACGTTTGGACGAGTAGATGTATAGGTCCACAATTTCTTGACCTCGGCATTAACTAGAGGTGAGTGGTGAGTTTCACACCCCGGCCGTTTTACCCCCAGGAGAAAGAGCCCCGGTACCCATTGGATACGAGGCTCGGTGTGCCCTAGAGCGGGTCGGGACGCTGATCAGACTTCAACCCCTCGGTCCTCCAGCCCATAGCCAGTCCCTACAACGACTGCGCTATCCCGGCTTCATACATAAAGAATATAAAAACATGAAACACGAGAATAAACATACATACATACACACAAACACACACGAACCGAAAATTTAGTAACAAAAACCAAAACATGTTCCTGAATCACATTATGAAAGTGTGAAGCCAAATACACTGCTCAGGTCCAACATGGCGACAGCAGGAACAGTGCATCACGGAGTTATTACCGCGGGGAAAGATAATGAACTGCGTGAAGTTGGTCCCGAACTTGGCTTCGAAACATCTCACGACATACTGACTGCGTAGATGATGTGGTTAACCCTTCGAACTTGTAAATCCTAACAATGTTTAAATATGACAAAATTTTAGTTAACTGAATAAAAAATCTATATTATTTTTTAGAATTCTCTTGAGAATCAGCCGGATGCAAAATATGCCTATCGACTGGCAACTGATTTATGTCAGGAATGAAAATGGACCTAACGCGTGACTCATGGAAGAAGCATAGGCCAAGCCATCCCTGTGCCTAATTAATTAAGTACTATACCATAAATCATATATTGGAATGGAGGTATAGCTCCATACATTATTAACTTCGACATTAGATGGTAGTGAGTGGTCAGGCCCCCCCCACCCGACAGCTCTGACCACTGCGAAAGAGCCCCCGGTACCCACGGGATAGAAAATTGTCTGTGCTGCAGACCGGTCTGGATGCTGTAGGGAAGAGTACAATTTCTTAATTTCTTGCACCTACCGGGAATCGAACATGTGAGCCGATTGTCTAGAAAATGTGGGAGCCTCAACATCTCACAACCCTATGGGCCTCCACGGCCTGTTACAGGGATACCTTAACTTTTATTTTACATTTATTTTACCGGGAATCGAACCTGGAGTCATCGGTCGCCCAACCTATAGCCCGTCGTTATATCGACTGAGCTAGATACATCGGAAAGACTGTTTAATTTCTAAGAATTATGAAGCTAAATATATAAGTAAGCTTAAGTATATAAATATTTCCCAAGTGTTAAATAATACAGCCAAATTACTTCAGTTTAAATAATTTAATCTAAGAAATAAGAGGTTATCAAATCCTAGTTTACAAAAATATATAGCCCACAGGCTAAAAATAAGTAATAATAAAAATATAATTTTCGCCTTATAAATCTGCCTAAAAACAAAAGAAAAAGAACAGTGAAACTTAATTCAAGGAACTGCATTCAGTAAATAAATTTAACAATTACTAAAGATATTCCTAAACCTAATTGTAGCCTGTTATCACAAACACGAGCATACAAGTTCTGCAGCAGACGAGTAAATTTACCCATTAACAATATCGATTTGCACAAATCATATTCGATATTTGCAGCTGTGAGAATGTAAGCAAACGTGAACTAAACAGTCTGTCCTTTACGTAAGCCTGTATTCGTTCTATAGGATGAGCACAAACTTGTACGTTATTGTGACTACACACGCAAACAAACAAACATAAGTGACTGCCTTCTTCTTAAACCTCATACGTCTGATTTATAAGGCTGAATAACGTCTACGTATTTACCAAGCAAAAGAATATTATAGTATGTAGACCCGTTGCTAGACAACGACCGCGAAAGAAGCAGCTATACAACAGCCACTGCTAAGTAACGGTTTCGCAAACAAGTATGTTTCCATGACAGTAATTAAAGGCGATGTTTTCTGTCTGTTCCATGCCGAGATGTTATTAGCTGGATAATTAGTGAGAGACAGTTCAGTTTAGCAGTTGGTTGATGAGTGACTAGGTTAGTTTGTAAGCTAGTTTGAGGACTCCGGCGGTTCAGTCGTGAGTTGTTGCTGTGAAAAGCTGGCAGCCGAGGATGGGGACAGTTCGGGAACCCAGAAGAAGGGGAACATCCGCCGTTAGAAGCCTCAACCAAACAACGGCTAGTGGAGACGGTAACAGACTGAGAACGTTAGTCCGTGTGTGATTGTGAATTGTGAAGTGTAGTAACGAGTGGTTTGTGGTCACACCACACTCGTGAAAATATTTTCTGCTTTTGAATATTACCGTAGTCCGCTCTCGACAGCAGCATCCCTAGCGACTGTACCAGTAAACACAACTGCAGAATACACATTATGGGCAATAATACTCCCCTAGCATCTCCAGGGAAATTCAGGGCTAGCTCAGAGAGGATACCGAAGACTACGTCACAAGCTCCCGTTACTTCATCTCTCTTCGGTCCAAATATCTTCAGCACTCTGTTCTCAAACACCTCATTCTGTGTTCCTGCTTTAATGTCAGAAACCAAGTTTCATACCCATACAGAACTACAGACAAAGTTAAAGTTTTGTATGTTCTAATTTTTACGCTTTTAAACAGTAGAAGAGAAGACAAAAGGTTCTGGCCTTGATAGTTGCAAGCATTACTCGAATTGAAACTGCTCTTAATTTTTCCTGATTCAAATATTAATTTATTACTGACGCTCCCAAATATTTGAACTGTGCCACATTTTCAAAACATCTGTTACCTATCCTTATGTCATGATTTTGCCCTGCATTTTGGTGACGAGACAGCAACATATACTTAGTTTTCTCTGTGTTTTTCTTCTAGACCAACCTCCTTACAAGCGTCAATTAAAACTTTCTAAACAATGAGAAGTTACAGAGGAGGAAAAGAAATTAAGTAGAGAACGCATAGGAGAAAGTGAAAATGTAAAGAAAAGATATGAGAGTAGAATTGTTTATTTTCGAATCGCCCGTATTCCTGAATGTTCGGAAAAGGAATAAAGTAAAAAAGTAAGTAAAGCTATCCCTTTAACAGGCCGTGGAGGCCCCTGGGGTTGTGAGATGTTGAGGGTCCCACATTATCTAGACAATCGGCTCACAGATGGCGGTAAGGTTGTTAGCCTTACGCGCCGGCCGCGCTTTACTTCCCAGGAAAATTATTTAATTAATTCCTGGTACTCATTTCTGTTAGAGGCTGAGTCCACCCCAGGGCCATAGTGCGGCTGGAAGGATTAGATCAATTGAAAAAAAAATCAATGACCACATCGGGACTTGAACTCGGACCTTCCGGCTTATAGCATAGTGCCTCAACCACCTAAGCTACCGCGTGCCCCCTCAGAAAAGGAATACTAAACAAAAATTAGATTTCTTCAAGATGACTTAGGTTTGAAAGTGTCAAAAAAAATAAATAAGTTAAATAAATAAATAAGTAATAAGTAAATAAATGGAAAAATATGTACACAGATATATAAACAGGATAAATAAATAAATGACACGTGGAGTAAATCATCAAGGAGCAACTTCGTGAGTCGCAGGGTTTCGACCCACTGTGAAGCTGTGACTTTGGACGCAAAAAAGAAAAAAAAAAAAAGGATTTGCATGCACAAGTTGTGGTTCGGAAACGGCTTCGTGCCAGGCCGGGTGATGTATAATATTGAAACAGATCCCACCCACCTGCATCCTCGCGCTGTACTGCTCCTGGCGGCTTTACCATTGTCTCCTCCACTCCTTCCTCTACCGGTGGACTGGGGCTCCTGGTAGGAGAAGCGCCCTCTTCCGTAGGGGGTGGTGGAGGTGGCGGTGGCGGACACATGGGTCCGGGCTCGGAGACGACTCGTTTCAGGGCTCTGCAATACACAACTGGTGTCTTACTTACTTATTTACTTACTGTTAGGTTCTAAGATCCTGTAAGTACTTTGCCCTCCTTTACGGCAGACACCGAATCTTGCTTATTTGCCTTTTGCAGCACCCAGAATCGCGTAACAGAAGGGACACGTAAGAGTATAACGCACATTCTTTATTGTTTCAGCTGCCCTCAACACATTCCCTTGTTTCAAGCAACGGGATTCCTTATTAAAAGGAATTTTCTTCAAGGTGTGTCAGTTTTTCTCTTAAAAGAACTGGAAATTTCTTAACATTTTGGAATCAAAATTCCATTGGTATCCTAAAAAACCAGCAGCCATATAGCTCGGAGCCGGGATAGGTCAGTCGGTATAGCGACGGGCTACGGTCTGGACGGCCCGGGTTCGATTCCCGGCATTACAAGATTTTTCTCCTCTCCACAGCGTCCAGAGAAGGTCTAGGGTTTACCCAGCCACCTATACCAAGGGCTTTTTCCCCGGGGGTAAAGAGGCGGGGGTGTGAAGCTGACCACTTACCTCCATCTAGTGCCGAGGTCAAGAAATGTGGAGCTATACCTCCACTAACCTATATGACTTCATGGCATAGTGCTTAATTAATTAAGCACAGGGTCAGCTTTACTTTATACCCCTATAGTGATTAGCCTGCTGACTGGACGACCGAGGAATCAGGTCTCGATTCTCTGTAGGGGCAAAATATTTGTCGCTCATCCATAGCGTCCAGAGCCGTTCTGGGGCCCACCCACTGGGTACCGGGGCCTTTTCCTCATAAGCAAAAACGCAGGGACGTGAAGATCGCTACTAACTTCCATCCAGTGCTGAGATTAAAGGTTCGACCACATACAGCGCTACGTTACGTACGCTGAGTACACTCTGCGACGCAGCTAACATAGGGAACATAGCGTACGTAAGTCTGTGTGACCACTCACATTGGCAATAAAGGGAGATATTTTTCTGTTCGTATAGCGAACATAGCGTACGTAGCGTGGGTCGCATACGTAGTGCTGTGTGTGGCCGAACCTTTAGAATGTGATATGATGTTCAATTAATTAAGCAGAGGCATGTCTGTATCTTTACTTATAAAGTTACCTCTACAATCTGCAAACCAATTGAGTTCTTACATAATGATGTAAGCACATTCAGATGGATCGCCAACAGTACACACGTGATAAGCCCAAACCTTAACTCTCTAGAGTTCATAAGCACTTCATGCACTGCCTGCAGTGACACTCACCTGCTGTTGCCGTTGCTACCGCCGCCATGTTGCACGTGTGGCAGCGAGTGGCGGTGGGACACTCTGGTCTTCTCGCACTCCTCCTCGGAGTGGCCGAGGTCTGAGGGAGAGCCACTCGAAACTCCGGACTCTGCAACAATAGAGTTCCGTTCCCTCATCCACAGCGACGTTCACACCACGCGCAGCCACAAGCGCCCTCTCATTACTGACAGGGAGTCAGGCTGATCAATTTGGAACGTTGAGGGCCAGGGGTTATTAAAACATTGATCTGAACTACTGTTTTTCTTTCGTTGTGTGGGCTATTTTATGCCGCTCTCAGTTTCTAGACAGTATAGTGTCGAATGATAGGATGGTTGATGACCTGACAAGAATTTTTGAAGGAAGCGGTTTGGTCTTTGCAAAAAAAAAAACTGAGTCACTGCGAGGTCAATCCGAGCGATAGAATTATTCCTGTGTTTCAAGAAAGTATTGAGTGTTTCATCCAAGATGTATTGAAGTCAATAATCTTGGAAGAAAACACGTCAAGATGCTACAGCATAGAAGTGAGCATGTGACACAACCACCTTCGTTTCTAACAGGCGAATATCAAGATTCAAATATTCATAAGTCTCCACGATCAGTTCAGTCCATCTCACACTACCAAAATGAACCTTTTGAGACTATTTCGTATTAAATTTCAACACCCATGTCAAAGCGCCCTTTTCCAACAAGCTACCCTACTTTAATTAGGTATGAATTTCATGTTCTGACCACCATAACAGTAAGCCCTTCGAACTGTACTTCCTTCAACTAACTGCCATAAAAGAAATATCAGAAACACAAGAAAATTAACATAAATAGTACAGAACATACCCATAACACAACGCACAGTGTCAAGTACTAGAACAAATCGAAGATGCACACGGGGTACAGTATCTGGCAACAGAACAAACCAGACGGACAGGTGAAGTGCCTGCTAACAGACTCGGCACACAGTGTATAGTACCCGCTGAGAGAACAACTCAGACATACACGTACGTGTAAGGTAGGGCATCTCCAAAGGGAACAAACCGGACCCTGGGGGTACAGTGCCTGCTAACTGCACATACGAGGGTGCGCAGAAGTAAACCTGGACCTTATTTTTTTTTGCCCCCGGAATGCGTGTGCACCAGAAAAATAGAAATATTTTACGGAGAATTCATGACAACGCGCCACGCTTCTGCTATTAGAGCTATTACAAATTAGCGTCAGATCTTGTCACTGCTAGTATAGCTCAGCGCTGTCACAAAATTTTCCCTGTGAAAGTGATATTGAAACCAGCTGAAATTGTTCATAGGATAAGTACACAGTAAGGGGAGGAGACTGTCATGTGTATTTTTTTTAATTCGCATAATGGAGAGTGGAGTCCAGTTGGATCCACTCTGCACGGCGGCCACTGATTGGCCTATTGTACCTGCCCCGGGTGATTATTTTGATGATGGAGAACTTTGGTAGAATGAAGATTGGCAGGGGAAACCGAAGTACTCGGAGAAAACCTACCCCAGCGCCATATGTGTGAATGTTAGTGACAAATGCAATAAGTTTTCTGAACAATATAAGAAAAGCCTAAACCAACCAAGCAAACACCTGCATGCTATATGAACATTTGCTACGTCGAAGAACTGATTTTGGTAAACAGGAGAATTACAATGCGTGGCATTGCATTCAGCAGCGGAAAACGTGTTGAAGGTGTTGAAACAATTATCCATGAATGCTTATTTTTCAAGAATGTTTGTGCTCTGTGGGTCCGACAGGCCGAAAATCTGCATTAGTTTGAACTGAAGGAAAACACATCTCTAGGGCGAATAGTGACCTTTGTCGAGATGTGGGTAAACTACTCCACTCCAGAGTCAAAGCGCTCGAGCACTGACGGGTGACACAAGGGATCTCAACCGCCAAAATAGTTTCAGCCGCCGCCGTCAACTGGCAAGAATATAGCGGTTGTGTTTTGGGATTCAGAAGACATGACCACGAAAACTATCAAAGAACTCATCCTACCTCATGAAAGCGCCTGTCTACATTTGGCAAATATGCCACCATCCTCAGTGATTTTTATTTGTTTGGAACGGATCAAGGAACGGTGTTCCTACGAGGTCAGTAATTTCAAATTGATGATGAACTGAGACTCGGTGCTCTGAACTTGTTACGCAGTCAGGATAAAACTTCTACGCTGCTAGCGTCAGTAACTTGCCAGAACGATAAAAAAAGTGTTGGTGTGAAGGAAGAATATTTTAAAAAGGAGTGAGAGTTTGGCAAATTGTGGCATATATATTCCTTTTTGTGAAAAAAAGTTGATGCTAACTTTGAATCTTTCTCATATGAAACTAAAAAAAATACAGTGGATTCTGAAGTTCTCCAACGAATATGTATTATGCTTAGAATTACCGGGTTTCAAAACTTTGTCCATCATCAAGTAATCAAGAGTTCAAAACATTTCGGAAACTAGATCTGTGTCCTTTCTCACGTCAAAATATGGGGTCGCCTAATTAGTTGGGTTCCAACTGAGTGGGTTGCTCCCGGAGTATTCGCCTGAGGACTGAGGGGGAAAACAGATCGAGTTCCGAAACGTCATGTTCTGTTCGGAGTAGTTGATGGTGGAAGACGTCCATAAACCGAGTAATCTCAGTGCGATACAGCGTCTATTGACAGAACACATCGCGAAAACAGATGCAAAAGAAAAAAGCACATACAAATTGGAAACACAGGCTATAATGGCTATTGACTCAACAATCTGGGTGCTTAGAACACACCGGGAATATAGTGCATAGTGAACGCTAACATCATTACTAACAAACAAACAAACAAACAATCACAAAAAGTAATGTACGAGGGTCCGTGATAACACAACAATAACTTGACATATGGGATGCAGTGCTTGCGAGCAGCATAAGTTGGCAAAAGTTAAAGGCATAATTTGGCCAGTCAGAATACCTACTTACCTAAAATACAAATTCATTACACAAAGTCACTTGCGTGCAAACAACATCAGCCACTGTCTGCCAAGAATATAAAACCAGGCAAACATGATTCGTTGTTGTCAGGAATAAACAATCAGGCAAACAGGATGAAATGTCTGCCACGAAGCCAGGAAAACAGGATGCAGGTCTGACAAGAACAGAGGGCCAAACAAATAGGAAGTAGTGCCTGTCAAGAACAAAAAAACCAGGCAAACAGGGTGCAGTGTCTGTCAAGAACACAAACAGGATACATGGAGTACTGTACCTTGCTCATCGTCGTAACTGCTGATGATGGTGTCCAGCATCGACACTGGCTCAAGATCTGCACAACAAGAGAACGGACAGTCAGTTGTTTCTGTACTCCAACGTCGCCACACTCTTTGTTACTAATGACAGTGTCAGGGAGGGACTGGGATGGAAGAGGTCGAGCTTGAGGAAACCCTGAGACGGAACATCAATAGAATCCCTGCCTGAAGTTTCGGCTTCTGTAGTTACACACATGGAAACAGCGGAGTGTCTTCTGGGATGAAACGCCTTGTAGTCTAGTAGATACATTTCCCAACATTACGGCGGAACCCGCGTTACACTTCAGCCCGTAAGACTGAAGAAATATTTTCCTCTCAAATATTGGTAAACATGTACCAGACTATACGGCGTCATATCTCATAGTAAAGCAATCCTTGTAGTTGCAGTCGCAAGATCCTCAAATCTCACAATAATGAAGTGCTTACTTTTAACCTAGTCTATAAACAAGAACAGTCACATCTCTACGAAACTGGACACTATTGGAGGGACATCGGATTTTCTAATGACTGATGGTTTCTTTGTAAGGAATACTGGGATCCCTGGCTCATGGCGACTCGTGGCATCACACCTCTCTACAAAATCAAGTTCCACACAGCAGTACTAAAGGGTTTGGATTGTTGCTTCACTAGTTTGTTTCAGGCATGTTACATCGGTGATGAACTGTGTTGTTGAAGTACATACGAGTATCAGGTGAAATAACAGTGGGGCAGTAGTAGAGTTCTTATTATCCTGGGGAACTGGAGAAACTCTGAGAGAATCCTGCTCCGGTAGCATTTCTCAGATGAAGCCACCCAGGACTGAAGTCGCACCTGTGCCATGTGAATCCAGACGCTGCTGCCTGCTACTCTGACTCCGCTTTTGCTTGACTTACTCTCTCATCAGAAAACTGCGGGACAGTATTTTCAAGTGTTTTGGGTGACCATAGACGGGGTTTGGATTGGCGAATGGATTCATTGACCACTTATACACACGACTCGGAACTACAGCGTTACCGCTAATCTACACAATTCACAAATCATCACAGCACCCGCCAAGCCTTTTTCCAGCTTGCTGTGTCTCCACCAGCCGTTCCCTCGCAACGTCTTCTAACAGTCGAGATACTTCAGCTTCACAGCCTCCCATGCAGAACTCAATTCTGTACAGAAATCTCTATCGTACAGAACTGCCTATCAAAGTCAAAGTCACTCAGTAAGTCTTGGTGTCGAGCCCCATCTGGGGATCATGACCAGATATTAATTACTGTTTGAAGGTTATGGTCTTATTTTTGTGGGGCTCCCTCTCTGACGAGAGGACGGGTCTGCCTTTTATGTACTGTATGCTGCTGGCACTTGCCAGCTCAGCCTTCCTCGGGTCCGAGTCCCTTGGGTTTCGCGACCATATTTTACTGTCTCAGATTTGAGACTTCCCTTTTCGTCGCCTCCTGCGACTCGCAGGTTCATGATGGAGGTATTAGACCCCGCCTCCACACGGGTTTCACAGAACCGCCTAACAACTCAACTGTCCTGGTTATAACATCTCTGAAAGGACCACATAGAAAACACTTTTCTAGTATTATTGCGTTCGTGCCCGTTGCAGCGGGAACGTGTTTACCAACATGTTGCCCAAAAACGGCCGCGGCACAGACCACAGAAAATATAGTCCTTCTACTGTTGAGGGAGTTATCTAGTAACGACCGCTGTTTATACACTGCTTAGCAACGGGTATATACGCCACGGTATTTTAAGTATTGTAATAAACAAGTGCTACCACCCACTTCGTACATTCATTTGTCGACCTATCATGCCAGTTCTTCGCCGACTCTCCTCCACTCATATCGAGCAATAAACGCAACAGCAGACCTGATCTCCTGATTATTACGACGGCTATGCTGACAGCTGAAGTCACATCAAAATCGTACGGCTTTGCTGTAACAACATGGGGGCCCAGACAGCTTCAGAGGGGCCGGACATTTAGGGAACTTATCGTTAACAATTTCTGTAACATTTTCATTGGGGTATTTTGACTGGAGAGGTTCAATCTCAAGAAAGTAAATGAGGTAGAGGGTAAAGAACGGCATCGAATTGAAATCTCAAAGAGGTTCGCAGCTTTGGGAAACTTAGAAGATGATGTGTGTAATGACAGAGCTTGCGAAACTGTTAGACAGAACATCTACAATTCAGCCAAAGAGAGTCTAGGCTATTACCAGCGGGAGTAAAATATGCCATGGTTCGATGAAGGATGTTCAAAATTAACAGGAATTCAGAAAAAAAAAGCGGATATCTGAAAAACAAAATTAATGAAGTAGATTTGAAAGGATTCTGACGATGGTGTATGCTGTACAGAACAGTAAGGTTTCTTATTTTGGACTCTATCCATCGTCTGGTATATACGATAAAAAAACCACAACGTTTAGTTTTAGTTTAGATTAGTCTTATTTCGACAAGTCGCCCTGTGGCATGATTCCTTTTCTGCATAATTAGCTATATATCCTCTATATTTTTTACCCTCGTTTTTAACTTAATCTCTGGAACTTAATCCATACCACTGTTTTATCACATTTTTGACATGTGCATGCTTGTCACAAAAGTTTTAGCTCGTCTTTTATTGTGATTTTATTCTTGTCTCCCAATGATGGAACCTGTTGTCAGATTTTATAGGCTGCTCTCTACTAACCGGGCGTTGTCCAGTGATTGAGACTAGCTCTTTCTAACGGGCCCAACTGAGTAGGTATATCTTGCCCCATCCACCTGAGGACGGAGATAGATCCAGTCTCCGAAACGTTGTGGGTTTTTTTTGTCATATACGGTATACCAGACGATGGATAGAGTCAAAAATAAGAAACCTTACAGTTCTGAACAAAATTAATGAATTTACAATGAACAGTTAGTGACTTGCAATGAGCTGTAAACGACTCTAAGAGGGTTTACCGCCGGTCACGGTAGCCGAGCGGTCTAAGGCATGTACTGTCTTCGCTCGCTCGGAAACCGGAATCGTGGGTTCGAATCTCACTCAGGACATAAATGTTTAGTTTGTGTGTGTGCGTTTTTCTGTGTTTGTAGAGGCCTTGCGACGAGCTGATCACCCGCCCAATGAGTCCTACCGAATGTGTAAGATCTAGAAAAACCGAAGTGAACGGAGAAGTTCATGGAGGTAGGCCTAGGCCCACCTGTAGTGCCAAGGGGGAAAAACGAGGGTTTACAACTTAGAAGTAACTGTCATCTCCTTGTAGATTCCGCAACACTTTGAATAGGTGGAAGACTTTTGTTCTCAGTTATTAAATGTATGTAGCGGCAATGATGTCAGGCAGATAGAAATATATACAGCTGAGTCGTTAGTGTCTGATCCTAGTCCCTTTGAGGTTGAAACTGTTATGCAGAATTGAAAAGGTGTAAATCGCTATGTAGTGATCAGATTCCGGCAGAATTGATTGAAGCAAGAGGAGAAATATTACGGTCTGACATTCACAAACTCCTTAATTGTATTTGGAACAAGGTAGAACTGTTGGTTAGTGGAAGGGTTCTAGTATTGTACCAATTTACAGGAAAGGCGATAAAGCTGACTGTACACATTTTCATGGGGTATGACTGCTATCACCTTCATACAAAATTTTATTCAGTACTCTTCTCTCAAGGTTAAGTCCATATAAGGTAAAAGTAAAGCTGTCACTGTGCTTGACTAATTTAGCACTATGCCGTGAAGGCGTATGAGGGAGTGGATGTATACGATCGTAGATCCACATTTTCTGACCTTGGCACTAGCTGAAGCTGAGTGCTCAGCTTCACGCCCCTGCCGCTTTACCCCCGGGGAAAGAGCCTCAGTACCGATTGAATAGGAGGCTTGATGGGCCCCAGGGCCGGTCTGGACGAAGTGGAGACTGGAACTCCGACCCCTTGGTCGTCCAGCCTGTAGCCAGTTGTTATACCGACTGTGCTATCCCGGCTCCTCACCGTTAAGTCCATACGTAGATTAAATTATTGGGGATCATCAGTGTGAGACTCGACGTAACATATCAATTATTGATCAGATTTTTGCATTTTTAAAACACTAGAGAAAAAATGGGGGTACAATGAGACAGTACATCAGCTATTCGTAGACTTCAAGGAAACCTATGATTCAGTTAGGAGGGAAGTATTGTACAATATTCGCACAGAGTTTGGGGGTACCCGTTAATTTGTTAGGCTGATTAAAATGCATTTAAACGAAAGGCGTAGGAAGTCCGTATAGGTAAATATTTGTCTGATAATTTTCCTATTCATATTGATTTAAAACAATGAGATACTTTAACGCCACTGCTTTTCATCTTTGCTTATGAATGTGCCAGTAAGAAAGTCGAGAAAGACAAGATTTAACTGAAATCAAATGGGACAAATCAGCTGGTGGTCTGCGCTGATGAGCTTAATCTCCTGGGAGATATTAAACATGCCGTGACGAGAAACAGAATATATAAATGACGCAAGTAAGGAGGTTGGTCTAGAAGGAAAAGCAGAGGAAACTAAGTATATGTTGCTGTCTCGTCACCAGAGTGCAGGGTAAATCATGACATAAAGACAGCTAACAGATCATTTGAAACTGTGGCACAGTTCAGATATTTGGAAACAACAATAACAAATCAAAATGTGATTGAGGAGGAAATTAAGGGGAGGCCTAATTCGTTTAAATGTTTACTACCTTTCAATCCAAAAGCTTTCGTTTTCTCGTCTGCTGAGAAAAAGTGTAAAAATTAGAATATACAAAAACATAATTTATTCTGTGATTTTGTATGGGCGTGAAACTTGGTTTCTGACATTAAGAGATGAAGCTAGACTGAGGGCCTTTTAGACGAGGGTACTGGGGAGAACATTTGGAAAGAAGAAGAATGATCAAGTCAAGGAGGACGAAATGGGCAATGAATGTAGCACGAACGGAGAAGTTATCGGTGGGAAAGCCAGAAAGAAAGAGACCACTAGGAATACCAAGACTAGGAGAGTGAATAATACCGAAATGGATCTTAGAGGAAAAGAATAGGGTGATATGGATTGGATTGATCTGTCTCAGGTTTGGGGACCAGTGGAGGGCTCTTATGGGCACGTTAATGAGCTTCAGGTTCGATAAAATTGGGAAATTCTTGAGTAGTTGCACAACTAGCGGCTTCTCAAGAAGGCCTCAGCTAAATTTGATTAGTTTGCTAGAAAACCGTTTAACGATTTATGCTCGAGATGCGTGAGGAAACGCGTACTGGTCTTCATGTGAAGAGTTCGTTAATTTTGTTAGACTTCAAGCAAAATTGGAATGTGTTGACAAATTTCAGTAAAACTTAATGTTATAAAAAAAAAACTGTTCATTGGTTCTGAGTTTAATGAGTTAATAGGCGTTCGGTGGAGCTGCAAACGCGCCTGCTTCATGCTGGATTCTTGCTGCATTTATTCTTCGCCTTAGAAAACGACGGAGATGCGTTCCTCTGACGTTCTGCTGCCTTTCAAGGGACTGCATGGCGATATATCACAGCAAGCAGAACTCGTTGGAACTTAACACAGAATTTAGCTTTCAACTTTAATTCTATGTACCTGTGGATGCTGTCATCGACGGTTCCTCCTGCGCAGGCGTATCATTCTGAGCCGGGGGTGATGCCGTTACAACTACGTGGCTGTTACTGGAACTACTGCTCCGACTATGGCTGCCAGAGTCGCGACTGCGCCTGCGCACGTCGGATACAGCTGCCTTCTCTTCGCGTGATTGGTAAATCTCCTCGTAGTCGTTCTCGGGGTCAGCGCTGCGTTCGCTTAGGTCGGAAGAGCTCAGGTTCTCATCAGATCCGGCGCCCGAACTGCTGCTATGCACCTCCACCTTGACTGTAACATGCATTTAAGTGGTACGAAGTTAAAATTAGGCCTACAAGTCCAGTACAATTGGTCCTCTGTTTAATTAATTAAGCACCACGCCATTAAGACGCGTTGCGTAATGGTGGTATGGTTCCACACATAATTAGCCTCGCCAATAGACACAGATGAGTGGTCAACTTCACTTCCCTTCCGTTTTACCCCACAAGTAAAGAGCATATTCATTTGACAAGGGGCTGGGTGATCCCCACAGCCGCGTTGAATACTGTGGGAGATGACAAAAATGTCTGCCCTTCGTGAGAATTGAAGCTCAATTTCTCGGTCAGGTAGCCCGTACCCTAGTTGGTATTGTGACTGAGCTTTCCTTGCTCCTTAAAATTAAAAACTCGAGGAGGAATTGCCGTACTAAGAAGCTGGTGTAAACACAATTATACGGGTCGGAGTGAAGGTGGTTGCAAAAGGCTCAGCATGCAGCCGTCTCTGCCCCCGCTTGCACTAACCAAATAATGCCATGGAGATGAGCCCTTCTTCAGAAGCCGCCAGTTGTGCAGCTACTCAAGGATTTCCCAACATTATACAGAGCCCGAAGGTTCTTTACCGCGTTCACAAGAGCTCTTCACTGGTCCTTATCCTGAGACAGATCAATCCAGTCCATACCACCCATCTTGTCTCTCTTCCCAGTGGTCCCTTTCTTTCTGGCTTTCCCACCAATATCTTATATGCATTCCTCTTCGACACAATTCGTACTACATGCCCTGCCCATCTTATTCTCCTTGACTTGGTCATTATAATTATACTTGGCGAAGAGTACAAGTTATGAAGCTCCTCATTATGCAGTTTTCTCCAGCCTCCCGTCACTTCATTTCTCTTCGGTCCTAATATTCTCCTCAGCATGCTGTTCTCAAACACCCTCGGTCTATGTCCCTCCAAAAGGATGTATAAGAGATAATTAAAGTGATACAAAATGGATAACAATTGTATGGATCGTTCGTTCTTTCATTCTGAAATCCTTAAAAATATTTGGACTCAATTCACCGACCCGTTTAAAAGTTATTGCACTCTTAGTTTTCGCTCAATTTACATGTGTTCTTATGGAAGTTCGTCACCTCGTACAGTAGTAGATGGAAAACATGTAAAAATGGTACCATGAGTTTCAAAATTTTTACATTTATAATTTCGGCCTTTAGGAATTATGCTCAAAAATTACATTCACTACCCCGTAAGGGAAAAATTAATAGTAATGTATTGAAACTTTGACTTTTACTCTATTTGCAAGCTATTCAATCTAGAAGAGCGGCAACACTGGGAACAGTTACAAAGCAACGTAGCAGAAACTGTAGCGAGTTTCTTCTTTTCTCTCCACTTTTCTGTTGAGCGAGTCTTTTCTCGTATGTACTTTTAGTCGCTATTCTTCCTTTCAAACTATGAGCTGCTTTTGGCATCGTGATGCGTGAATAGCACAATGTAGCAAAGAGAAATGTAGCTACGATTAACCTACAACGGTACAACGCGTCAACTGAAGCTTCAGCTGTCGGGTTGGTCTGCTCGTGGGACCACTGAAGATAGCCAACTTATGGAAAAATACAGTGTTGTCAAGTTTAATTCTTCTCAAAGAGTATTTTAGTAATGGAAATGAACGAAAATAAATCCATACTTTCCACAAATATAATAAATCACAACCATTTATATTAAAACGTGATTTATTGCTTTGTATCAACATTTAATTTAAATTCAACAATTCTCTTGTCAGGTTCGACTCACAGATTATTCACTCTCAAAAGTTTCATTATAATGAGTGACATAAATGATAAATATAGTAATAAAGAAAAGAGTTAAATAAGAATGTTCCCACATTAAAATTTAGGACTATCACTTATGTCGCTTCTGACTTTACTTACTGCACGCAAAATGGAAATATTCATTAAATTTGAATTCAAGCTACTTTTGTCTAAGATTGTATCTCCTGTACATCTTCAATGAGCCGGTCACAATAGCAGCGCAGTCTAAGGCATGAAATGTCTTCGCTCGCTCGGACACTATGATCGTGGTTTCGAATGTTTGGTGTGTGTATGCGTTTATTCTGTGTCTGTGTTTAGGTAACGGCCTTGCGACGGGCTGATCACTCGTCCAAGGAGTCCTACTGTCTGTGAATAATATTTACTGAACTAAATAAGAGGCCTGGGTCCTGAATGACCTAGAAGAACCATGGAAGTAAATAAATAAATACGTCCTTAATGCTAGAGACGAAGGTTCACATCCATACAGAACCACAGGCAAAATTATAGTTTTTCTGTTCTAATTTTTAAGTTTTCGGACATGCTCTCGCTTTCACACCCACCACAAACAAGTTTCTAGAAACCCAGCCATTACGTGATGTGAAGGGGCTCCCATAAATGGAGCAAGGCTTTCTAATGGTGAGGCAACAAGAATATAGGCGTATGGGGCCTGAATATCAGCCGAGTCATCAGCTACACCGACTAAGACTTTTCGCAGTTTTCATCAGTTTTCGATGTTTGTACCGAGATAGTATTTTGACACAATGCAATTGCCCATTTCCGAATTCTTGCCTACTCACCATTCATAAATACAGGGTGATTCTATACTATTGTCGAGATTTCCGCGGGTTATAATTTTCAAACCGGAAATAACAAAATAAAACTGCTTACGGAACATGAAAATGTAACTCAGAAGGTTTTCTTACTTATAATATTAAGACTGCAGAATGCCAAACAACTTCAACATGCGCGCCTTTCTTGGCATGTAAGGTTTGAAAATTATAAGCCACGGAAAACCCTACAATAATTTATAATCACCCTGTATTGTCCGGCATAATTCAACGCTCCATCCAGTTGGAGTAAAAGTATAAGAACCTGGGTAATTCCACCGCACATTTAAAGAAACCGCGGCATACCCCTACAACAATTACAGCCTGGGGGTGGGAAGCTGTTGGCGGAAGTTGGACTAAGTTTCGAACTTCACCTCATGCTAGACGTACTGATAAATCTATGTCGAGGCTGTGCAATTAAGTCTATTTGACCAATGAATCACAGGAACTGTGATGAAGCGAGTGGTTGTGAGTTTCTCGGCCCAGGAACTTGTGTTCGATTCCTGGCAGGGGCAAGAGATTTTCTCTTTTCTATAGCGTACACATTGGTTCTGTTAGCCATCTAGCCTCCTAGAGAATAGGTACCGGGAGCCGTTTTCTCGGAAATAAGGCGGCTATGGACTGGAGTTCACCATTCGTTTCCAATCCATATCTGCTCACCTAAGCGTCTTCATATTGTGGCGCTAGTAACAAACAAAACATACTCCGTGCCTTTAGACCGCAAGCGAACTATACCGACCGAGCGACCGCAGTTTGTCGGCGAAGTTAGTGCCAACTTTAACGGACAGAGGGTGTTGCGTGGTCAGTGCAACGAATCCCCAAGGCCGTTAATTTCGGTTTTCTAGACCGCTCCGCTATTTCCTTGAAATAACTCCTCAGTTATCCTCACGAGGCTGAGTGAACCCCGCCCCAGACCCACTACTTCTAAAAAAACTAGTAGCGCCGGGAATCGAACCCCGGACCTCTGGCTCTGTAGGCAGGAACTCTGACTACTAGACCACAGAGGCGGTCATGGTGCTAATAACACAAATTAATGGTCTATTTCTGAACAATGGTTCTGCCAGCAGAGATTCCGACCACGTAAGAGTTGTCACATATACAGGGAGTTTTCTGGATATCGAAACCGTGAAACGAATATATGAGTCGGTCGGTCTTTACAGGAGGAGCTGCCCACTCTTCATCACAAGTCCGCGCTCGCAAAGAAAACCAATGAACATTCTGTATAGTTTCGAAGTTTCGCAGTATGTTTCTTCAACATAAATCATGATATAATATTCATACAAATTTATGTTTATCTCGACCCAGATTTTCAAATGCCTGGCGAGAACGATTGTTTAGTTCTGGATAACAACAAAATATAAACAGAATTTCATTATATGTATAATTGAATCGCCGATTGCAAAATGGATCTGAGTAAACATTTTATCTCTGAAACTGGACTCATCTGTGAGCACAATAAAAGGCCTCAGTTCCACGATATTAGTGGTTCAAATACAACATTCATTTTTTGTTTATTGCAGAGAGTTAAGAAGTCTAGGACTGAGAGCCTTTATGCTCTCAGCTGTTGGCAGCCATGTACGCTTACAGTCATCTGTTCCCCGCCTCACATATGTCCCAAGACCTCGCTGTGCATGGTATATTGCTTTCTAAATGTGCTTCAAAGTGGAACTAAGTACGAATTTCAGATGATAACAGTGAAAGAGATCGAAGTAGTGTCTAATGATGGTGATTACAAAAGGAACAATACAGAAATGGCTAAGTCGAAGAGACTGCAACATACTGACTATTCGGTAAGGCTATCTCCGACAAACTAATTATTATTATTATTAGTGGGGTGAGTCTGAGTCCACTTGGTACTGCGTCAACTGCTGGCCTACTGTACCAGCCCCAAATAATAAATGTTGGTGATTGTGGAGCAATTGGTGGAATGAGAATTGACAGGGGAACAGAAGTATTCGAAGAAAACCTGCCTCAGTGCCACTTCTTGAACCACAAATCCCACATGACCTGAACCGGGCTCGAAGCCGGGCCGCCGCGGTAGGAAGCTAGCGACTAACCACCTGACCTATTACACGGTCTTCCGCCCAACTAACTGGGCCGACCTGCAACTGGCCGTTAAATTATGTTCAGAATATAAGTAAAGATGATCAGTTAACAGCATTACGTACGGTCCTGGAAATGTCCACCAAAAGACGAACAGGACTTGTAGGAATAAGGAACGTATTAAGTTTGAGGACATTTCTCATCGTTGACGTAGGAAAGAACGGACATTACTGGAGGTGAAATTGTCGTGTTGGTAACATCAAGCTTGGTCCAGCGGCCTCCGTAGTCTAGAGGTAACGTTCCCACCTCATGACTCGTAGTACGCGGGTTCAAATACCCGGCGGAGGTCGTCGAATTTTTAAGG